ATATATATATATATATCTTTTTTTTTATTTCATAAATTCAATATTTCTAAAATGGATTTTAGAATTTTTGAATTGCATAAAATCAAAATTTATTTAAATCCTGTGTGATCAATAAACGAAGATTTCAAGAATAAATGAAAGATTTCGAGAGAGCTCCTTAAATATTCCTATAAATAATGAAATATTTCTCGGATAATAGAGCAAAGAGAGAATTATTTCTTGATTTGGATTCTTTTTTCATCGATATTTCAATCTCGTTTCTGATTATAAGGGGGATTCTTCAATTGGTTAATCATATGAAAAAAAAATATATATATACACTCTATTTTGGTCACCATTCATGATCCAGTTGGGCTCCTGGTAGTGCGACCTCCAAGCAAACAACTGTCGTGTGCAAAGCCTATTCGAACGTCACTAATTTCTCACGAAACTGGCCTCGGACAGAGCTGTTTCGGCCAAGCGCTGCGGCGGCCTTTGGCAAGATACACTTTGCCAGCTATTCTATTCTCTCCGTATGCAAAGTTGAAGGTTTGCTGACCATGTCGGAATCAAGGCACTGCGTTGTTCCGCACATTCGGAGGACGTTGGCGAGAGAATGTGTGTCCCAGTTTAACAGGCAAAATTACTCTTTCCAAGCTTTCTTCGAGCCGGAAGCACCACAATCCAAGTCATCATCCCAAAACACCTTCAACTGTCCAGGGTTGGGGAAGGGAAGCTGAGGCAATGACCGGCATGACTGTCTCGAAACCAGAAGACCTTTGCTTGAATGGAACTGGCAGAGTAGGGCTTCCTGGCAACTTCTTGCCCCGCAGAATCCTGAAGGTTCCTTCCTGTCATGTCAGACAGGGCTTCACATTCGCACACAACTACCGAATCCATCATCGCAGATCGCAAGTGGTGCTGAGGTCTGAGCGCATGCCTCGCACATGTGGAACCACATTACCCTGCACAACTCAAATGTTCAAGCTTATTTGCGAACCTTTCGCTCGCTCGCAGTCTCTCCGAGAGACGTGTGCTCCGTGAATTCTTTGGGCGCATGGAACACAAGTGTTCGCAAGCCAGCAGTGGCACGTGGTCTTTTTGCTTTCCGGGTGCAGCAAATGCACGATCCTGCATCTCCCGTACAGTCTGGAACGCTCAAGAGTGCTGAACCACCTATATAATAAGCTCCCTGTGGACAATACCAATGGCTCCTCCGTTTGAAGCAACTCGGCTACTACCTTGTCTCCCACTCGTTGGAGCTTGCCTTTGCTTTTCTCTTTGCTTTCTCGGACAAATTTCAGGTCACTGAGCGGTTCATGCAATGCAAACTCGTTCCTGTCGCAGATTGGCCGGGTGTGGCTTGTAGCTGCCGCGACGCCAGTACATCCTATACAGGCTCTTTAGAGTTCATGGGCTTTGCGAAGCTGGCGCACAGAATGCGTGCACATACACGCAAGCAAAGACAAGCCTAGCTCCGAGTCTTAGATTGCAGCCGACATGACACAGAATGCTGCAACCATGCAACGACTACCAAGCCCCCTGATGCAAGATCCACAGTGAGCACGTATCTTGCCCACGAGGCAGAGATGTGCGGCATGCGCAACCTTCACACTGGGTAAAAGCACGGCATTGAACGGCTTCCTATGGGCAGGAGCCCTGCAGAAGTGACTATGACTAAACCCAGAGCCCAACGCCCAAGCCGAAGGCTTTGCCTTGCCCTATGCATGACCCCTCTACCCAGACGCCTCGCTGGGGATGTCATCAACACCCTGCAGCAGCCACACGTGAACTACAGAGGGCACCCACGATATGAATTATTATGCGAGCGGGCAGGAATGAATTACGTTCCGCAAACTTGGGAGTTTTTGCTCAGATTCCTTGGTTCGCAGTGACAGCATCTAGTGCAAAGCTGGAGCCTTTATTTCGCACTTTGATGGTGCGTGCCTACGGTGCAGTCAGATCCGATGGTACATGTCACTTCTGGCACCTGGCCACGCCACACAGACTCAGCACGCCGGGACGGGCGGGCCGAAAACATACTCTGTTGGCCAGCAAACCAACACCGAAACGGGCGGTCCGGTGGCTGGCCGAAACGAAGTCCACAGATTCTGGCTCCACGTGGGCGCATGCAGGTGCAGTTCACACGTGGCCGAACGAGCAGTGACACATTTGTTGCAGGCACTTCTCAAACCATGAGTCTAGTCTAGCTAATCGGCTGAGCCATGATGCTAAAGGCTCTACTTGCTCAAGTCGATGCCTGAAGGGCGTCTGCAGCGTTGGCTTTGGCTGCGGGTCCCTGGGGCTGTTGCAGCGGAGGTTGGCTTCGGCAGGACGAATCCAGGTTGACATGTCTTGCCTTAACCAAGGCAGGAAGATGCAGGAAGTTTGGGCTGGTATTTGCGGTTCAAGGGCCTGTCGGGCGGCCGCCGCACGGAGCACCTCATAGGTGGTAACCTGACTCGGTCTCATGTGGCTGCAGGAGTCAGCGGAGAGAGGACGGAGCAAGAAAAAGAAACTGGAGGGGAGCGCATGGGGAACAACACAAAGGAGATCGGCTGCCACAGGAGGTGCGGAGTTTGTGAGCTGTTGCGAAATCGTGATGCCCGAGATCGAGCTCCTAGCAGTTTGCATTGACACGCATTCTGTAATTGAAGGCATGTTTGGCTGTTTGACCGTGCTTGCCCTCCTTCATATCGGGTCTAATCAGCCTGCATGTGCAGCTTTCAGACTTTCGCTGCGTGCTGCTTGAACACGAAAGGCACTCCGTGTCCAGCCCTGGTGCACCTTTCGATTGGACCCCTCTGAGTGCCTTTGAATGCCCACTCGGCAAAACGGTTAGCTTGCGAGCGCTCTCAAACCGTCATCACAACCACACGTCGGCTCCAAAGTCACGTCTGCAACAGGTGCCGTAACGTCGCCAGAAAGCTTGGCATGAGCTTGCATTGGCTCAGACTCGTCGGCATGGAACCCATTGCGCTCGAAAGCATTGGCGCCCGGACCAGTACGGTTTGAACACGAGGGCTTGCTGCAGCCTGAGAGAATAACCCAATCTCTGGAACCAGCAGGATGTATGACGCAGACGGGGATTTTCAACTGCTCTAGAAAACATGTCCAACATATTCCTGCAATAGGCTCCGCACCGCTTCGGAGCTGCCGGAAGGTCCCTGGCAATCCATCGAGTCAACGCTGAGATCATTTCAAAGGATGTGAGCAGAATACCCATACCATCTTCATTCATCACATCCACACTGTGCATCCGTAACTTGATGCTCGGCCGATGTTTCCCACTCCTCGTTTCTTACTAACACATTCTCGCTCTCTTATTGCAAATTTCTTTTCGGCAGAAAGGCGAGAGGGATGTCTCCTACTCTCGTTCGCAGGCTGCATGGAGGATTGCAACCCCATCTTCCAGACTTTCAGTGCTTCTGAAGATTGGCCAAGGTCACTGACTGCTCTCTACCCGATTTCCACAAATCAAAACTCGTCTTCCAGGTTTGCTTGGCGCTGGCTTTGGGGTGGACCTGACTCCGTGAATAGCAAACGGTGTGGGCAAAAAACACCCAGACGACGGAACGCCAGTACGACGTGATGATTTCACTTCCTCTGCATCCGCTGCATCTCTTAGCACTTTTCTAGAGAGCTCGCTCCAGTGGCCCTAGCGTGGCCCCAGTGGGCTTGGCCCAGGGACCGGGCCCGGATGTGGCTCATGGCAAGGCCTTGCAAGCCCTTGAGCGTTAACGATTCGCTGCGAAGGCGGCAAGATGGCTTCGAAAGACCGGAAACATTCGGGGATAAGTCGGTGAAGAGGGCGAGGCAAACAATGTGTTTTTGAATTTGGTCCCGCCGTTCGCACCAAATGCCTAAGCCGCAGCGTGGGGGAGCCTGCGAAAGCTTCTGCAGACTGTCGACGTGCCGGCAAAATCCCTGAGCCTCTGAGTGCTTAGGCTCATCAAGAGTGGAGCAGTGTTGCAAGCCGAAGGTATCCAATTATCCAAACTCAATGAGAGCAACAGAGGAGAATACTCGGCATGAATAAGACTGTGCAGAGTGCACACTCACGGAAGGACGACCAGGGCCAAATTAGAATGCTCTGCGACTGTCCCTTGCATGGTCTACCAGCCTGAATTTGTCCTTTCGCAACTTGCACAGAATCTACCTACGGCATGAGCCAGCATCAAAAGTTTAAAAGCGGCGACAGTGCCATTCGGCAGCACCTTTGTTGCAGACTGTCGGAGGCCAGTAGTTTGGACTGCCTTCGGTGTAAAGTCCGACTTGAGAATAACTGGCTCACACTTCATGAAGACTTCGGTCCTTGGTGCTCTTGCGCGTCTAGCTCACACGCACCACAGGCGGCGGGCAAGCAACAGCACTCTGAAGGCCATTCTGCCACTTTGTCTCCGTCCTCTCGCTGCAACAGAAAGAGTGAGTATCTCCGACGTGTCAAAATTCTGTTCAGAGCATCTATCCCGCTACTGTAGGTGTCGAATGCATGGCAGCTAGGTGGGGGTAGACAACATGACACCTCAATTTGCTGCAGGCCCGTCGCATTTGGTCCCTCTCCTTCATCCTGTAGTGTTGGTCATAGACATAGAGGTCAGGGACTGCCACTGTACATGGACAGGCCTGCAACTATTACTTCCGAAGCAGTGGAAAGCAAGCTTCCTACTTGACACTTGCCGCCGTTGTGAAGTTACGGGCGGTCAAGTCACAGCCTAGTGTTGATGAGACTCGCTTGTGTTCGAAGGCGAGAGAACAGACTTGTGATGCAGAGCAAACACTTCCGAAGTAGCCGAGGCCAGCGCGAGCTGTTATGGCGGCGTCGCGCCAGGCGGGAAAATGGACCTTGTTCAAAGCAGTAATTGAATGCAAGCGGGCTCTGACCTCGGGCTTGGGCTGCTGGTACTCGAGAACCACGTTCGGACGCATGCGTGCCTCGCTACCCGCTACCCCTGTGGGCTTCATGTGCTTGCTCTCCTTTGCAAGGCTTTCTCAGGATCCCAAAACAGTTCCATCAGTTCCAGTTTGTTGCCTTCTTTGAAGAGCGGATGAACGTCGGGCAGTACCCGGCGCAAATGACAGGTACTTTGGCGGCGTCTGCTGTGGCGGTGACGAAAGCAAGCAGAGAATCCCGAACAGATTTCAGGAGCTGAACAGCTGAAATGTCATAATCCTACGAAATCGTATTGGAGCCGCCGAACATGGCCAGCCTTGCTGCTGAGAGCCTTTCCCAGCTCTTGCTCATTCCCTCCTGTTCGCCCGCCTCTCAGATCTCCGTGCCTCCTGCGGATGCCCTGTTCAGTTTTGAAATGTTCTGTAACTTGTAGAACCTTATAAGTGCAGATCTGTCTGAAGTGTCAGCGACTTGGTTCCCAACGTGCGGTGCTCCTCCGCGGACGCCGTGAGAGGTATGTGCGTCGCCATGAGCGGATGAAAGTCCGTCTGAGAGGAACTATGGTCATCGTGCACCTGGGTGCTTCATGCCCCATTGTCAGCTGAAGAGAAAAACACGGCATTTGGGCAAACCAGCCCGCCCCGTGAGCCTGGAAGTTGTGAAAATTCTGAAGCTTCTGCTTCTGCGTCTGCGGAGCCTCGACCTCCATCTCCTGGAAGAAGTTATAAAGTGCGTTGACTGTGGATAGCTAGCCTTGCCATAATCCTGGCATCTCGACCCCACCTCCTCACTCTCGGAGTCGGTGTCCGTGTTGTCCATCGGCGAGTATGCCACATACGGCTGGGCGTGCTGCTCAGCCTTTGAGTGAATTCCGGAACGCGCAGTGCTTTGGCACACAACTCTTCGAGCACATTCCAGTCATTGAACAGTCATTACTCCTTGGGTAGGTCCTTGATGTCAGCTTGCTGGCCTTTGGCTCCTCGTGTTGTGGCTTCGACGGCGACTCGACCATTATGAGGCTGCGCGCCGCCTTGGACCAGGGTGTTTCGATTTGAAAGGTCTCGGTTTCGTGATGTGATGTTTGATTTCAGATAGTAGCGTCGCAGTATTTGCACCACTTAATAACTTAAGCCGTACTCAAGAGATTACTTAGCATCCTGAGCACACACATGCCTTACATACTTTGTCTGCAAACAGAGCCATCTCCTACGACATACAGTAAAGCAAACCAGTCCTGCCCGCTCTCGCCTTAATTGTGCCACACACCGCTCCAAAGTCATCTCAAATATTAGGTAACTGCCTTGGCCCCCGAATTGTTCGTTCAAGAAGGGCCTGGAAGAATGATGCTCTGAATTCCGAATTTTTCTGGAGCCCTCTGAGGGACACACCTCCACCTGACAGACAAGCCGAGAAAAAGCCAGACTCTGCACGCATGTCCCGGATTCAGTCAAAGCAGAGCTTCAGCAGCCAGACACGAAGGTACAGCGCGGCTTCACACAGCCGAATTCACTGAATGTTTGATGGATGCGATGACGACATCAGCGTCCATGGGCCCTTGAAGGGCACGGCGATGAGAAGTTAATCAGTTAAAGCTCATCTTCATCTAGGAGGGGCAAATTAGTATCCACGGCATCACAATTTTATGTGCCGACACAACTCTACTCGAACCCGGACAAAGTAGTCCAATATGCAGCATGCAAAAAGTTTGCCGGCGTTCGCTGCAGCTCAAACCAGTGAAAGTGCATCCGTCAACTCGTGGGGCTTCAATACGTGTTCCTACTACTGCTACTACTACCAGAGACTCACAACCACCTTCTACTACTGCTATCTACTCCTGCTCCCACCACTGCCACTGCCACTGCCCCTGCCCCTGCCACTGCCACTGCCACTGCCACTACCACTGCCACTGCCACTACTACTACTACTACTACTACTACAACTACTACTACCACTACTACTACTACACTACTACTA